GGAGTAAACCGATAACATCCAGACGCACATAAAGACCCACATACACAGAGAGACGCAAACACTACAACTTCAGGAGCGGCCTCAAGACTGCAAGTCTCTATGTCTAGACAGTGCATATAGATGAACCAAACAAACTCTCTAGTCACGTGGGGAGTAAAACGACGCGCCACCGGTGTATGTAGCATAAAGTGGCACTTCAACGGTGTGTGGAGAAAACTCCGTCGCTCGCAATGATTGCTGCTGCTGCTGCTGCTGCTGCCGGGGTGCCAATGTGTCGCGGCGTCGGGGCATGTTGACCGGCACCGTGTTGTGCGACGCCGAGAGATTTGGATGGTACGTACCAAACATGTCACGCCGCATCGACGCGTCATGCCGCATGGACCTGCCGTTCCCCATGGTCATATCAAGGCGCGCAGAATTAGCTAAAGAGAGCGGCAGTGCGGGATTGTTTTTATGCGGCATGTCCTCCGCCTGAATGATAAGCTGTAGCCGCATACTCGCGCGTTTCGCCTCCTCTGCAACGCGCTTCGCTTCCTCTACATGCGCGCGCCGCTCGCGCAGCCACTCCTTGTAGTCACGTATCTCGTCCTCCGTCATAATGCCGTACTTTGGCAGCGCGTTCCAGAGGTACACGGCGCCGCCCGCCACGTACGTCAAGAACCCCGCGCAAACGAACAGAAAGAGCGGCGTTGAGCCGCAGAAGGGCAGAAATGACTCCGAGACGACACCACAGTGCCGGAGGTAGTCCTGCAGCAGGCTTCCCGCCACATTCGCCATGAGAGCAGTCCGCAGCACGACGCACAGCAGGGCGAATTCCGTGGCCGCAATGAGGTCCTTGTACACTACAAAGTTCCGCCACGTCCAGTTGTAGAAGTTCGCTTCAACCGCCTGCCGGTTCGCAATGCCCAATGCCAGTGCGAAGGCAGAGAGATACACTGCAAGGCACATATAGGTGGCGTGGTCCGCGAAGACTTCATTGGCATTCGAGGAAGAGAGCAGCACGTGGACTTGTTGGAAAGCGTAGAGGGAGCCGCGCCGCGCTTCGTATTCACACGTGGCCGTACGCCACGCCAGCGACGGCACGAGCTCGAGCGGGTTACGCGACCAGACAGAGTGGACGAATGTGCGGCGGCAGGCTATCACGAGTCGGGTTGTGTGCAACACCAAGCAGACCAGCTGGATGACGGAGCAGATGTCGTACAGCGGGATGATGCGCTTCTCGCACTTCAGCCGGCCCTTGTTGGGTCGCTTCTGGAGATCACTGACTACGTGCATCGCGCCGTGGCTGTTGACTGCAACAGTTCTGTTGACGGCCTTCCGATGTATATTCGGTGAGCCGAAGAGGGCAACACACACACGCCCCCAGACACACAAGAGACGAGAGAGACGGGAAAGGATACAACCAGAGTCCCCAGACGCCTGCCCGCAGCACCCGCAGCAGCAGCAGCAGCAGCAGCAGCCGTGGCCCTCCCCCACGAGGCACATCAGGTGGCGACAGGGAAACGCATACAAACGACGTGGCTCACGTACACACACAACGGCGCGGGGCAATACACCAAAGAAACGAAAAGAAACGAAAAGAAGCGGTTCCCCCCACCACCCCACCCAACAAAGAGAACAAAGAAAATGGAATAACCGCCCAAAGTAAGTCCCAAAGTGAGCGCGGGAGACGGGACCGCCTCCCAGCTTCACTGCCCGAAAAGCAAAACAAAAACAACAAAGCACACCCACCCACATACAAGGAAGGAAAACAAGAAAAACAAACTTTTTTAGGTAAACAAACGAAACACAAGAAAACAAAACATATATATCATTAACGGAGCCATTTTTTTTTTTCTTACCCGCACTGCTTGAAGAGCGCCGACAGCAGATTCCCTGAAGAGGCACTGCGGGCTTTTTCGCGCGGCGGAACGTACGGCGGCGATGG